AACCCCATGGCTACGGCTGTCTCACGCTAAATTTCAACTACATGATCTTGCAGCCAGGAATGCTGTTTGTGCAACCCCTGCAATTACTTACTGCATAGGAATAAAAATCAAGAGCCTGAATAAGGCTCACTTGCAACACCTACTGCATGAGAAACAGATCGTGGCATCCTGCTGATGTCTGCAGCCCTCCCACGATTCTGGTTTCTGTTTTTTGTTTACAGGCTCAGAGATTGAGTATTTCACAGCAACTGGAAACTTCACCATCGTTTCACCCTCACAACTCTGGATGAGGATCCCAGCCGGGGCACCTCCTGCTCCTAAGCACCGTGCCTCAGCCCCACATTTCCCCACTGAAGTTATACTGCAATAACTACTCCTCTGTGCAGCTCTGCCATTCCCATAACCCAACGCACCCATGAACCCCATGAGGAGACCCTATGCCTACACCTATGCCCCTATCTACGCCCCCACCTCCCTCCAAGGTCAGTCCCTCCACCCACCCCTAATTACCCCACTGGGGGTTGGACCCTCTGCCCTCCCACCCCCCCCTCAGGGCCCCCTACACACACACTAATCACCTTTCGCCAATTACCCCAAGCACACCCCTCTAAAGGAGCCCAGCCCGTAACTCATTACCCCACTGCACCCACACAATTAGTTAATTACCCCGCCCTCCAGCCCCGCGCACCCACCGCCCGCCATGTGCCACCTCCATTCCCTTCCGCCCCCGCCGCTCTCTCCCGTTTCCCATCGGACGGCTTTTTCCTGTGCGCGGTTGGGCGGGGGCCGCGGACAGAGCGACCAATGAAAAGATGCACGGACCGGAAGTCCCACCCCCCAAACGCCGTGAGTGACGCGGGGGCGCAGCCCGGCCGAGCCGCCGCCATGTCCATCTTCACCCCCACCAACCAGATCCGCCTCACCAATGTGGCCGTGGTGCGGGCACGGCGCGCCGGAAAGCGCTTCGAGATCGCCTGTTACCGTAACAAAGTCATGGGCTGGCGCAGCGGAGCGTGAGTGCCTTGAAAGCCCGGCTGTGAGGGGGGGGGGAGGAGGAGGAGGCTTCGCGTGGGGCCTTGCTGCGAGAGAGAGAGCCTGCGGTGGGACTGGTGTGGAGGGGAAGGCTTCCGTGGGGCCCTGTTTGGAGGGGGAGGGCCGGCTTTGTGGGGGGATCCCGGTTTGAAAGGGGAAGCCGCCAGTGAGAGGCATGCGTTGAGAGGAAGGGAAAGCGCCCGGTGAAGACTGGGAGGTTGGAAGTCCGTGGTGGGTTCAAGTTTAAGGGAGAGGGCGGCTCCCGTGGGATAGGCTGTGAGGGAGGGAGGCCTCCGTGGGGCATTGTGAAGGGGAGGGGTCCCCGGTGGGACTCAGATGCGAGGGGAAAAGGCTCTCAGTTTGCAGAGGGAAGGTGCCTGGGGGACACAGCTGTGGGTCTGAAGAAGCCCGGGGATTGCCTCAGCCGGCTGCCTCCACCCAGCTGCTCCCTGCAGCCTTGGCAGCAGTGCCCCAGGGCCACTGTTAGCCCTTAGCAATGGGATTCATTCCTCCCCACCCCGAGTTCGTTGTCATCCCACAGCCCTTTCTAATGCTGCTTTCCTTCACTAGGGAGAAGGATATTGACGAGGTCCTGCAGACCCACACAGTGTTTGTCAATGTTTCTAAAGGCCAGGTGGCAAAGAAGGAAGATCTGGTCCGGGCGTTTGGAACAGATGACCAAACAGAAATCTGTAAAGTGGTAGGTTCTGTGCACTTTGCAATATGTTTATAAAAGCTTGGAGATATACGTGGCGTGCAGAGCTGGTGGGTTGGCGTGTTACTGGAAGGCTTTCGTAGAATGAAGTGTTGATGTATGCAGAAGAATGATTTATCTGTTGAAAGATGGAGCTCTTTGGTGTAGTGTTAAATTTATACATCTCTTAGATGAGAGTTCTGATTATTCTGTACTGCTTTCATGCACTGTTCTCTGCAGACACAGATGAGCTGCAAGGATGCTCAGAGGGCTGGGGCATCGCTCCTATGCAGACAGGCTGAGGGAGTTGGGCTTGTTCAGCCTGGAGAAGATGAGGCTTCAGGGAGAGCTCGTAGCAGCCAGATAGTGCTGCTGCTGTGGGTTTTTCCCCTGACATCTTTCCACCATGTGTCATGGTTGATACACTTATTCTTTTTCTGCACTTGGTGTCTAACCAAAACTTTCCAGCAGTTGTTAAATTTATCACGTTAGGCTTTTCACTCAAATGTTTGGCATTTATTAACCTCTTTATTTTTAATTAACTCTACAGATTCTGTCAAAAGGGGAGTTGCAGGTATCAGACAAAGAACGACAAACACAGCTGGAGCAGATGTTTAGGGACATTGCAACTATTGTGGCTGACAAATGTGTGAACCCTGAGACAAAGAGGCCATACACTGTAATCCTTATAGAAAGAGCCATGAAGGATATTCACTACTCTGTCAAACCAAACAAGAGCACGAAGCAGCAGGTTGGTATTCCCTAGAAATCAGCTTGCACTCAGAGGTGTTGCCTTCAAGTGAAGTTTTGCTATGGATGTTCTTGCAGGAGTAAAAAAGCCCTGTGGTTCAAAGCTGTCACAGGGGTTTCTCAACTGGCTGGAAGCTGAATGATGAGTAGGAGCAACTTCTGATGATGATGTAAATGACAAGTTTTGATCTCTGTGGCATTTTAAATGCTCTTTATCCTTTTCTGAATGTCTCTGCAGGCACTGGAAGTGATCAGACAGTTAAAGGAGACCATGCAAATTGAACGTGCTCACATGAGGTTACGATTTATTCTTCCGGTAAAGGAGGGGAAAAAACTGAAAGAGAAGCTCAAGCCACTGATTAAAGTTATTGAGAACGAAGACTTTCATGATCAGTTAGAAATTGTAAGTGATAAAGCAGATCTTGGCTTTCATATGTGATTTCACCTGTGCAGTGTAGAATTAACGTGGGGAAGTTGTTCAGATAAACTGCAAGGCTACCAGAGATCTCTGGTAGTTCTCTGTGCACAGAGATTGGAAGTCGTTTTGTGGCTCAGAGGTGGCTGGTTCAGGTTGAGGAGAAGCACAGTGTAGTTCCCCTTAGCTGTCATTGTCCTGTCACGTTGATGAGTTTCTCTGCATATATGGAATTTTCCTGTTAATTATTTGGTGGTTCTGGCCTGTATTTTGGCAATAGTTAGCTTTTTAAAAGCAGTTTGTGGTACAGCAAATTTGGTATTGGTAAAAAACAGTTAAGAATTTAGAAACCTACCTGTCCAAGTGTCCAGAATCCTGACTGTGCTGGAACCAAAAGCTTTTGTGAAGATGACTTGATACAGATTGCTTATCAACTCTTCAAAGTAACCAAGTCCTTCTTAGTAACTGAACAATAACAGTTTTTAAAGGAAAATTTAAAAAGGCCTTGAGAAATTGATGAGAATCAAATACTATTGCTTGACTGATGGTCTGTGGTGTATTTCAGGTGTGCCTTATTGACCCGGGCTGCTTCAGAGAGATTGACGAGCTGATCCGGTCTGAGACCAAAGGGAAGGGAACGCTGGAAGTGCTCAGTCTGAAAGATGTGGAGGAAGGAGATGAAAAGCTTGAATAACAAAAAAAAGCCCTGAATAACAAAAAAGCCCTTCTGGAGCACTGCAAACAACTGGCATTAGCCACTCCTTTCTGTTGAGCCTTCTTGTTTTGTTTCTCCAACCCCTCGCTGCCAAATACCTTCTGACACACACGAACCCTTTGGGATTTTTCCATGCGGTGGTTTGGTGTTTTTTATTTTTTTAATCGTTTTCCACTTGGTTTACAGGTGATTTGCCTGTAGGAACCTTTGGTGTCAGAGTTGCACTAATGAGAATTAAGACTCGATAGGGAGTTTAGCTTTGGTGAATGTTAAGGGTTGCTGATGGAGGTGTTTGACTGATAGGGTGCCAAACACGTTTGCTTTGAGCTGCCAGTGCTGAGTGGAAGGCTGCACAGGGGGGTTTGGATGTGGGGAGAGGGAAAGAGAGACACATTTTCACTTTCAGGCAAGTGCAAAGCGTGGGTCGTGTCTGCTGATCTCTTGGCAGCATGAAAACTGATGTAGACACCCATAATTGGCTGCCTAATAATTACAGTAATTTAAAGGACCGTTCTTGTGTATTTCCTATCACTGGGTATAACAGTACTTGCTAACTTAGAGAAAACGTTCTCCAAATAATTTATTCATAAAATATATTTAGCTACATTGGTGAGGGAAAAAAGAAATAATAATTATCATCTATTTATGTATTACAGATACGGAAAGAAAGGACTATTTTTGTTGTAGCATAGGAGCTGCCCCTGGCTGCAGTGCTGCGTTTGGAGGCTGAAGGCATAGGCTGCATTTCTGAGCTGTTGTCATTCATGGGATGAAATGAAGCGGATCTCTCCCAGGCAGTGGCCTCTGGCTGTTGTGCCAGACAGGCTTTTGTTGGGCCCTCCTTCCCTCGTGGTAGCTGTCCTTTATCCTGTGGCTTTCTATGCTTCTTTCTAGCACAGCATTTCCAGCCGGCTCCCGAGGCCCAGCACTCTGAGTGGCTTTGTGAAGGCTTCTTTCAGCTGTGCCAAACGAGTGCTTTCAATTTTAAATTGGGAATCTCAAACAAGAGGGGGAAAAGAGGACAGAAGCTGGAAAGGTACTAAAAATACAGTAAGAAAATACCTGGTACACAGCCCTGTGTGTCTGAAGGCTGAGCCTGCAGGAGTTTCAGGGGAGCCTTTGGTATTCATGAGCCTGTTTTCATGCTGATAATACACAGCGAGTTGGGATTTGTGAGCTGGCCAACCACTGGATCTCTGCTTCACATGAATCTGTGCTCTGTTCATTCCTTGCTGGTAATTTACCTTTTCTATGACAATTAAATGGAGCTGTGGTTTGTACTCTTCATGTGACCTTTTCCTTTGTACCGCTGACAGATGCTGTGAGTTGATGTGGGGAGAGTTGAAGTCAGCCAGAGAAGGATTTGAAATGTCAGATGACAAGGAGCCTAGATCCTCAGTGAGGGGCTTCATTTTTGAAATTGCAGCCTGTGAACGTGAGCTTGTGCAAGGTTGGATTTAATTTCCTCAGCAGTTTTGGGATGACTTGCCAATGTGGAGCCTGCGTTTTGCTGAAGGGTAATGAGATGGAGATTCTTGAACCATTTGATCAGTTTTAAAATGCTTTCTGTTGCCCCAAGGACAGCTTGCTGTCCTGCTTAAATGCTGCCTAGGAAAGTTTAGAGGTGTAATTGATGTACTTGTGAGGTGGACAGGAGTTTAAACGTGGAGATCTGGACCTGTGTGGATAGGCAGGCAACTTTCTCCATGTGTGCAAGCCCTTAACTGCCTGTCTTCTTGTGCATTCTTTATGAAAAGGATGGAAATGCTGCTATGTAACCTGTCCCTGGCACTTGGAATTAAGATGTAATCCATAAATCTGCAAAAGAGATGCTGAGCAAGAACCTCATGCAGCGTCGTGTTGGTTGATTTGATTTCACAGTTGTGTAATTTCTTTGGGTTTTATGCTCTTAGAGTGCAGGAGGATGGCTGCAGGTTAAGGACCTCGAGTTACAGAAACGTAATCTAAGCTGATTTATGAGCTTGGTGCTAGGAAGTCAGTTTCCAGATAGTCTTTTTCTACAAATCAAATGCTGAGGATTTTCTCTGGTAGAGGGAGATTGATTTTATTTATAAACATGCTCGCATTTCTTGTCATGTTTGTATTTCAGCAAGAATGGATGGTAAGCATCAAAATAAATACCAGTATTGGCAGCTGTTCTTTCCATTTTTGACTTTTGCCCATTTCAAGAAGGAGCGTAACGGTTCCAGGGCTAATTAACAGAGATTTCCAAAGATACTTACACAGATCATAACAGTCATCTCTGTTGTGCAGGCAGCATTGAGGTGAGACAAAAAATTGTCACACAGACTCTGAATTTCTCACGAGGGAGAAATGGGAGCTGAATCAAGGGGGGAGGGGGGACAAGAAGAATGCAGTGAACAATTAGCAGGCAATAACTCATCTTTCCTGATCTGATGGCCCCAAGCCATCCTCTGTACAGTGCTGAGACGCCCCTGCAGTAAAGCAGCCCTTCCTTCTGGGTGTGCCCTGGTTCCTGGTGGGGCTGGGCAGGTTGGAACTGCCGTAGTCATGGTGACTGGGTGGTGAGCGTGGTCTCAGTCTGCGTCCCTGCTTCTCAGAGCTCAGTAATTGCTTAAAATTGCTTTGCGCCCTGCAGAAGCGGAGGGGAAGGGGCTGTGAGTGCTGTGCTGGAGCTGTCGGGGCAGTGAGCAAGCAGGGGGTGCCAGAAGGCCGGCGCAGGGCGTGCAGCGCCTGGAGGAGCCGTGGTGCTGGTTCTGTTTGAGGTCACAGACTGCTTCCAACAGACGGGGGCTGCAGCAACTGTCGCACACACTCTGAATCCGCAGGCAGGACTGCTGGCACCATGCAGGGCCGCAGGGCAGACATGAACCAGCAGATCCAGGAGCTGCGCAACATCATTGCCTTGCAAGGTGCTGCTCTTACATTGCATTGCAGGGACAGCCCGTGCAGAGCTGAATCCGTGGGGGCTCTGGGGTGCAGGAACGCGTGCACTGGTTGAGGGGTAGTGACTTGGTGGCTTTGGACATTGGTCTCCAGTGTGAAGCTCAAACGAAATGGGTGACATTCCCACAGGAGACAGAATCTGCAGCGGCTTCCTGTTCCCGTGGGCGCAGTGACTGGAGAAAGGGGGCGTCAGGTTGCCTCTGGGGCTCAGTGGGGCCTAGGCACTAGGGAAGCAGCATTTGGCCCAGAGTCCCATGTCTCTGCCTGGCCACTGTCCTTTCCCCATTTCCCAAGCCTCTGGGGCAGAGGAGGGGACTCGTGTTCAATGCGGGGCAGCAGCAGTGGGTGGTGTGGCACTAACGGCTCCTTAACATCCTGCAGAGCAAGGAAAAAAGTTTTCCAGGCAGTTGTCTGAGGAAAAGCATAGGCAGAACAAAGATCTGCTTTCCCGGCTGCACGGGAGGTTGCGGGAGGACATCCATGCACTGGACATTGCCCAGAAGGTACCTGCCATTCCTGACAGATGCCCCCCTGCTCCTCTGCTGGGTCCCTCCAGGAGCAAACGCCAGCCGTGTAGAGCAGCAGTAGGCAGTGATGGTGCCCTGACAGACGCTGATCTCTCTGTCTCTCTCCTGCCTGCAGCATGACCAGCGCATCATGTCTGAGTTTTGCAGAGCACAGAAGTACTTGTGTGGCAAAACTGTGCAGGTAACAGGAAGGGGTCTGCCTGGCAGCAGCTGGGAACAAGTGCTCACAGGAGTCCTTGGGCCAGCATCCCCCCCCCAGGGCTGGTGCTGTGAGACCTAGGGTTTGCACGGGTCCCATCCCATGAGAAATGCTTGTTGTGTTGTAGGAGCCATCAGTATAAATATCTTCCAGCTCTTTGAGCAGCTCCCCAGCAGAGCTATGGCTGTCCTGCCTGCATTGTCTGCTGGGCTCCTGCAGGGCTGCACCCTGGGGAGCAGCATGCTCTCTCTGCCTGTCCCAAGGTCACAGCCCAGCTAGATGCCCATGGACTATGCCGGAGGAGCCAGGGCATCCCAGAGGATCTGCTTTGCCCAGGGGTTTCTTGCAAGGGCAGAGCAGTGCCATCACATGCTGCCAGCATCTATATCTGGGGTGTGATCGATTTATTTTAATTGATGCTCGCTCAGTCCTGGGTCTGCATTCTGCGTCCTGCAGAATCCTGGCTCTGGAAAGCCATCAGCACCCACTTCTGCCTTGCTCTGCTGCTTGGGGCAAAGCTCTCCCACACTCAGCCCAGCCTGGGACTTACCATGTCCCAGCGTCCCCAAGTCCCCAAGCCTCTGACTTCTGCCCTGGAATGAGGTTCAGGCAGGTCCAGCCCACGAGCTCCTGCATGCCCATCCAGGGGGCCCGAGAGAAGCTCCGGAGCAGCATCTTCGACCGGGTGAATGCCTGCAACATGCTGCTGCACGAGGTGAAGCAGAGGAGCCAGGCTCGGGATGCACTGCGGTGGCAGCTGCAGCAGCTGCTGGATGTCAGGATCAATGACAAGAGGCACCAGGAGCAAGTGCAGGTACACAGATCCTTCCCAATCCCAGCGCTGCCCAGGCTCAGCACGCCGGGTCACCCCATGTCCCACTCTGTAGATGATTCGCCAGCTGGAGAACAACATTGAGAAGATGCACATGAAAATCCACGCCGGGCAGAAGGTGACCACGCTGTACCTGGCACTGCGGGATGTCCTGAAGAAGGTGAGCTGCCCCTCACTGTCCCCACTGTGTGACAGGGCTGCTCCTCTGCTGAGGACGTCTCACGGAGGTTTGTTTGACCCACGTCTCAGTGGGTGACATGCAATGGCTCTGTGCTGCAGGAGCTGGACTATCTGCTTCTGCATCTGGAGCTGCTGTACACCATGGTTGGGGCGTACCACGGGGAGGTGCAGGACAGGGAGCTGATGGCTTCGGGTGCTCTCAGAGCCAGTGACATTACCAAGGTGAGAACAGCCCCAGGTCGCCTTGGGGCCTTCTCCAATGCCCCAAATCCCCACAGTGGCTTAGCACGAATCGCCCCATTTGCCCAGGCTAGTACATCTTCCTGGAGTAAATTGCAGAAATTTATTTCAGCAAAAAGCTGGGATTGCCCATGGCATGCAGACGCCTTCATAGCTTCTCTGTATCTGGCTGTCAGCTGCCCTGGGCTGGGCCCTACGTGTCCTCTGTCCTTCCTGCTTTCCTACACAGCCCCTTTATGCAGCAGTCTGCTTTGGCCATCCCAGAAATCCAGCTGGCCCACAAAGGTCCTTCCAGCTTTGACTTTTCCTTTCTCTCCGGCTCTGCTGTGCTCCAGAAGGACCTGGCCATGCTGGAAACCCGATTCTTGGCAGAGGAGGAGGACAGACACCGCATCCTGTCTGCCCGGAAGGTGCAAACTGACTGGCTGTGGCTCAAGGAGGCAAGCAAAAAGCACTCAAGAGCGGTGAGTGGGTGGCAGCTGGGGCAGGGCAGCAGCTCGGACCACCCTCCGTGGGTGCAAGCAGCACAGTGGTGACAATGGATGTCCTTTCAGCAAGCCAGGTATGACCTGGCTGTGGACTTCCCCTCCCTGCTGATGCAGGACTCAGCGCTGGGTGAGTACTTGGCAGTGCACAGGGTTACGGCTCGGGTTTGAGGAGGGAGGAGGAGAGTTCCATCCCCTGGTGCCCTTCCTCCCACCCAGGCTCCCAGCTACAAGCCACTAGGTCACAGATTGAGCACGAGTCCTTTGTGACGGCGGAGGTGGAGAAGGCCAAGGCTGCGGTGCAGTGCTCCCGTGTCTGGGTAAGGGAACAACCCACCCTGGGCAAAACCCTTCTGCCAGCACCTGAGCCCTCTGCTCGTGGTCTCATCTGAGGTTCTGTCCTCGTGGCTGAGCCCCTGCACCGTCCCTTGGCAGGACATCACCAGCAGGCTGCTGGCACAGCAGAAGTCCACAGCAGAGCTGGAGCAGCACATCAGAGCCTGCAAGGAGAAGCGGCGGGCACTGAAGGACACGCTGCAGGAACTGGAGCTGAAGCACGCCAAGCTGAAGTTCCACCAGCCCCCAAGTGCTATCAGGTGCTGCCATGGCCTCGGGACACAGCCAGATGCAGATGCTCTGGGCAGTATTGACACATCCTCCTATCACCTGGGCATGGGGACGTCCATGTCCCAATAGGTCCTCCTGCATCAGGAGCTTTGTTCAGTAGGGTGCTCCTCCCAGCACAGCATCCAGAGCTGGGACAGCAGGGACGCAAGGCGAGGAGGGATGGATGAGGTCCTGCAGAGCCTTGGTGGCAGCAGGTCCTGAAGCCGTGATGTGGAGATACCCCTCAAACCCAGCCTGCCCAGTCCCAGCACACTGCTGGGCACGTGCAGGACCCTTCTTCCCATTCTGCTCTGTGAGGTGGCATCACTGGCCCTTGAGCCTGCTCTGCTCCATAGTGTTGGGTCCACGTGGGCAGCCTGTACAGCACATTGGGGTATGTCTGCACATGGACACCCAGAGGGACGTGTGTGGGTCTGGGCAGCTGCAGGAAGCTGGAGGCAGAGCTACGGGTGCGCCTGCAGCAGGAGGAGGCCCGGCTGGAGCAGGCACGAGCCCAGTATGTGAGGAACCAGGAGCTGCTGCTGCAGTTTGAGAACGGCCTCGACAACCTCATTGTCCGTCTGCATGGCATCAACGTGCCTGAGCAGGTATGGGGTGTGCAGAGAAGCTGGGGACACAGTGCCACCAGCTGCTCCTGCCTGTCTCCACCGTGTGTCCTCTCCCCAATGCAAGACCCATGGCAAGAATCATTTCTTACTACCACAGGATGGGTTGGAGGGGATCTCGAAGGCCATCCAGTTCCAACCCTCCTGCCATGGATTGAGTGTGCTCCACCAGCTCAGGCTGCTCAGGGCCCCATCCAGCCTGGCCTTGCACACCTCCGGGGATGAGCATTCACTGCTGCAGCGCATCACTGTGGCACTTGGTGCAGCCACCATCACCCAAAGCAACTCGCTGTCCCCATCGTGGTTGTCTTTCTCTCTACCTGCAGGATCTCACCGTCGAGTTCAAAGGGGTGGATGAGAAGCTGCAGCACTGCAGGCAGAAGCTGCAGCACCTGGCCCAGCGCGTGAGCTCCCTGCCTGCCCACAGCTACAGCCCTGATGAGGACAATGAGGTGCTTGGATGCTCTGTCCTTGCTCTGGTCTTTGGGGGTCCCCACTTGTGGCTCTGTGGCACAACCCAAGGTGTCCTCCCTGCTGGAAGAATGGAGGTGACCCTGGGGAAAGGGTGGGATAGTGCTGGACACTGTGGAGTGTCCTCTTCCCAAGGGACATCAAGGTGGGACACTCCTCATGTCCTAACACCCGCCTTCCCTTTGGCAATTAATTCTAAGTCTTTCACAGACTTTTGTGAAGGTCAGGAATTTAATGGAGAAAACGACTGCGGGAGAGCCATGGAACCTGAAGATTCCCTTGGAGGACATAGGCTCAGGGGTGCAAGGTAAGTGAGCACAGCAGGGACATGTGCCCAGGGCTGGGCAGTGGCTGTGGGACATCTGGGTGTCCTGTGCTGCCTTCCTCTGTCCCATCAGACCCCAACCCATGAACTGTGTCTGTCTGCAAGGCTTTGAGGGTAGGTTTTGGGACTGGAGAAGAGTAAAGGCAGCTGGTGAACGGGTGGGTGAGTGCTGAACACTATTAGGAAGCAAGCAGAGCAGCTCTGGGGCAGGGGGTGGGGTTGCTGTGTGTCTTCATCAGCCAAATAAGGGATTTCAGCATCACCTGAGTGGGAAAACAGACCAGTGCTTGGCTCTATGAAGCCTCACCTCCTGTGGGACACTTGGAGGAGTTGAGTTTTCAGCTGCTTACCACCTTTTTATGATCAAAGCAGGACCTGTGACCAGCACCTCATGGCTCCAGCCCTCTATGGGAAGCCCCAGCAGTGTCAGGGATGAACCACTGCGGTGCCAGGGGATTAGGGTTAGGGTCAGGGGATGCTGAGAAGGGAAAACCCAGCGGGCAACACCTGTGCTGGAGATGCTACCAACCCTCTGAGATTGGTGGCTCTCCCTGGGGATGCAGGCATGGCAGAGGAAGCCTCACAACCCCCTAAGCCCACTCCTCTCTGCTTTCTCCCTCAGCTCCCTCTGATTTTGTTGATGAAGACCACGACCCGGTTCCCACCCGGGAGGACATCAAGAAGCAGGGGCTGAGCCTGATAGAAAGCAGGATGAGAAGCAGCAAGAGGAAGTAGCGATTGCTGCCCCGGAGCTTCTGATGCCTCTCCTTTTCCCAGCAGGTTTAATAGAGCAGAGCTTTCTCATTCCCTCCAAGTCTGTGGTAAAGCTGGAAAGGGAGAGCTGGGAGGTGGTTCTGGCACACTGCTCTCACCCACCTGGGGACAGACTGCGGTGGGAGCAGCTTTCCCAGCCAGAGCAAAGCCATGGGTAGGCTGGCTGGTTTTCTTCCCCCTGGATTTTGGGATGCCAACACCTATTCAAGGCTCTGCAGAAAGCCAAGGACACTGACCGGTGGAAGGGCACACAGCCTACTGCTATCCAAGGCCTCTGAGGCTGCTATGGGGAGATGTATGGCTGGGGAAGGAGGGGAATTCAGGATGGGTGCCCCAATGTCCCTGCAGAGGAGAGCAGGGGCAGGGCTAAGAATCAGATGAAGGCCCCAGTGCAGAGCTGTCTAACCTCTTCATGGACCTCTCGTGCCTGCTTCCTCCTCTGCTGCCTGTGCACACATCACTCAGCTCCCACTGCCTGTCCTACACTCAGAGCAAAGTCTGGGCAGCAGCTCAGAGGTGACATCTTCCCCACTGGGCAGCACAGAATGGGTCACAGGCACCTGGCTCCGCCAGGAGGCATTTTGTTCTCTGCAAGCAAAGGCACACATCAAATAGTGCTGCAAATAGATGGTGCTGTTTCTCCAAATACAGCCAACAGCAGAGGCCTGTAGTCCCTGCTGGAGACCCAGCAGCGTTTACCCACCCCTGCTCTCAGGGGGACGTCATCACCGTCACCTCCACTCGGTCCCTGGACTTCATGCTGATGTCATTTGTCACCTCATCATGGCAGGGAAGGAACAGCTGTGTTTGGCAAGGGTGCTGAGGGACTGCTTGTCACGCCAGATGCTCTCCACGGGTTTTGTGAGGCTATTGGTGAGGAGAATGTATGGCAAAAAACACAGCGTAGTTTGGAAACTGGAGTCAAGTCACTCATCTGGACTGAGGGTTTCCATCAGCTGCGAGAGGAGCCAGAGAAAAGGGTTTGAGCAAAGGAATCCCAAAACACTTCTCCAATTCATGGTTTGTGGCCCATTGGCCAACATCAGAGTAATTCCTCAGTGCTCCACCCACCTTTTCAAGAAGGAGAGCAATCACACACAGCGGCGCTGTGGTTTTGGGTCTACTGAAACCCATTAGAGGAGGAAGATCCAAAGGCAACCCGTCTCATCACGAGTGCCACAGCATCCCGAATCCTTTACATGTCTGAAAAGCCACCCTGCAACCAGCACCTGGAGTTTTAATGCTCTTGTGCCACAGCCATGGTGCAAGAAGGAGTGGGAAGGAACCAGAGGCAGCGGCTTGATTTCTGGATCAAAAATCTGGATGCCCCATGGCACAGAGATGCTGGGGCAGGAGGACCTCACGGGGTTGGTCCAGGGAAGGGTGCAGAGCATTCATGTGGCTTCTGGGAAGGGAGAGCTGGCGCTGGCTGGAGCTTCAGCAGCCATAGGGATAGCACAGCACGGGGAAGGAGCAGAGGTTTCCTCTCCCTCCCCAAAAACATTTCCTCCCACCGCGAGCGTTGCCAAAGGGTTGAAGGGAGCCACGGTGCCAGCGCTGGCAAGGGACCTAAAATAGGACATCATAAACTCACATCAGAGACTTCGCTGCACTAAAATATCTCTGCCCTGGAAACGCTTGTGGGAAGGCTGGCTTTGGGTGGGTGTGGGTTTTTTTAAGGATGTGATCAAAATCACATGAAACGAAGCAGAGCTAAGGGAAGGAAGACAGGCTGGAGCTGGTATCGGAGCTCGAGCACTGGGGTTTTCCTGCTGAGGATGCAAGCACAGAGATGGGTGAGGGGCACCGAGCCAAGTCAGCTGCTCTGAGGTCACAGCAAGCAGCCTGGCCAGCTGTCCTGGGCAGGGAACAGTGGGCATGGCCACCACAGTGTGCTCCAGGAGGCAAACTCATGCAGCCAGGGAAACTCAGGCACTTCTCCATTCCCGTGTTGGCATTATGATGATTGATATTGATGAAGGCGACTTAAGGCTCTCTGCGTATCAGAGGTACAGCCTCGTTTTGCAGCAGAGTGACAATGGGGTCGGGGTGCCCAAAGCAGCTCCTGTCCCTTCAAGGACCCTGCCTGACCCAAAGAGCAGGACAAGAGGGGAGGTTAACAACTTTCTGATAGCAAAAGCATGTAAGAAAAGAGAATCGACATCTCTTGGGTGGTGCAAACACAACAGCTGGCCTTAGCTGCCATCCGGTCGATCCAGGACATGCTTTAACCATCCATGTGGATCCAGGAAATGTATGGAAGGGATGAAGGGGAGCAGGGGGTAAAGAGGTTCCCTGAGTGCCTACAAGGAGAGGGAGGAGGTGGAGGAGGGAGGAGGGGGTGGGGTCTGAGGGCCATCCATTACCATCCTCCCGCCCGTGGAAGTGACACATGGGTGCAGACAAGGCAGGTCAGCTGTATTTATTGAGAACGTTCGTGGAGGGGTTAAAAATATTTCCACTAGCTCTATACGAATTTATAAACCTATATTCTTTGTATACTTTAATAAACGCATCTATGGCCATCATGCAAAGGTAGGTTCTTCAGTAAGAAAATAGCGAGATAAAAAAGGAAAGTGCTCATCCAGCCTGCAGGTCCCCGCTCACGGGCGAGCTGACGCAGGGACCCCTCAGGCTGTGCTGACACAGGGACACTGCTGGCACTGTCCCTACCGCCACCCAGCCTGAGCCATCCAAACTACGACATGGGGACTGTGGGGCTGAGGCTCAAGCCCACCCAGGGGATACCAAAAAGGGTGGCCCAGGCGGAGAGGGGACACGTCCCCATGCCCCCAGCTCTGCCTCCAGCCCTCAGGGCCACCGTGCTGCCTCACTGTCCCCTTTCTTCTTTCCCCATTGCCTGAGGGAAGCGGGGAGTTGGGGTGCTCTGCCAGGAAGCAGCGTGGATGGGGACATCTGGGGGGACACAGTGTCACGATGGACAAGCAAGCAGCCGAAATGCCATCAGGGACAAAGCTCTTGCCGAGCAGGGGGACAGTGATTATTGCTTTGTAGGGCCAACAAGTTGGGGTCAGGTCTCTGCTCACTGTGATTTGGGGTTGGAGGGATGGTGTTTGGGGGAGATGGTGTTTGGGGGAGATGGTGTTTCCTCAGGGTTCCTTGTGCACCAGCCTGAGCCATCCAGTGCTCCCATGGGACAATGCTCCGTTGGGACAGGGAATGTGACAAGGACACGGGGCTGGACACCGTTGGTCATCAGAACCTCCTCTGTTGGCAGGGGAGACCCTGGCCAAGGGTGACCTGTGGCCTCCAGGAGCCACTGAATTTCTGTCATTCAGATTTCCCTTCCACCCCTATCTTGAGTGGTACAGACCCCAATTTGTGAGACTGGGAGCAGTCCTCTCCTTCCCTCTTCCTTCACAGCATGAGCAGGCAGGGACAAGACCATGGGCAATAGGGCAGTTGTGGCCTCTTGAAGATACCTGGGGTAGGAGGGACACAGAGGGAGCCAAAGCCGTGGGGACAACACTGTGCCCAGCCCAGGGGGCGCAGGAGGGACTGGGACAATGTCTGGGGGAACCTGGGAGGTGCACCCCATCCCCTCGCCATCCCCGAGTCCATAAGGCGACACTGCAGCAGCTTAAGGTGAGAGGTGTTGTTGGTACCGAGTCTCAGAGCTTGGCTGGGATGGAGCATGATGTAAACATTTCTGATCCGCGTGGGGCACGGCCGGAGGAGGAGGAGGAGGAGGAGGGGCTGGGGGAGGGGGTTAGTGGGAGTCCTTCATCTGCTTCTGGATCTTCTGCAGCATCTCCTGCATCCGCCGCAGCTGGAAAGGAACAAAGAGGTGACAACAGGGAAGGTGGCATCGCCATGTGCTGCCCATGGCCACGTCACCTCCCCTGATCAAGCCCGCAAAGTCTGGACCACCAGGAATTGTGTTCTGGGGCAAAACCTACAATTTTCTTCAAATTCTTCCCCACCCTGAGTGGGGCATTGCAGAAAGGGTGTCCCGTGCTGGGGCTGGGGGCAGCACATGGGGACAGCGGGGGGGAGGAATGGAAGCTCAGTGCTCACCTCTTCATCCTTCTCTCGGATGAGCTTCTCCGTCTCCGAATCCGGCACCGGGGGGATGACAGGGATGGGGAAATCCGTGCCGCTCTCCCGTGTCAGCTTGCTGCAGGGCAGAGAGAGGAGGTGAGGATGCTCCCACCCCCCCAGGCTCGAGCTCTCCCAGCTCACCGAACACCTCCAAGCCCCACGCAACATCTGAGGACAGCACTGTCAACCTGGTGTCCCACAGCTGCTGGCAGTGCAGCTTTCCCAGAGCATCGCTGAGGACAGGCATTGCAGCACAGCGCATCCCCCCACCCCCCTGGGCCACCCTTTTGGGCAGGACTGAAGTGAGCTGAGTCGATGGGTTCTGCCATGACAAGGGCACGGGGAGGGTCCCCATCGGATGACACGTGGTGGGGACATCACTGTCACTCACAGTGGTCACGCGTGTCACCATGCGCCAGCGACAAGCGGAGCGGTGATGGGTTCAGTGAAGCTGACACAGGGGACGGCTGCCCCAAGGCACTGGGGTAGGTGTGGGTGTGCGCAGGCAAGGGCTGGCTTCTGACTGCGTCCTGAGTTGCTTTGGGAAACCACCACCCATCATCACTGCTCCTCACCATTGGGGGTCACTTTGGGAAGGTCACTGGGGATGGAACCAGGCACGGGCCGAGCAATGTCACCAGCCCAGGGGAACTGCCCCAGGGACTCTTCTTAAAGGAGTCAGTGGCTGCGCCCTGAGCTGGCTTCACCCCAGGATGAGGCGCTTTGCTCTGTGTGCCTCAGGATGAGACTAAGTGGTGCTGTGCCCGGCGCACCCATCCCTATGGGACACTTTCCTGCTGGAGGTGGGTGCTTGGTGACAGTGGCACAGGGTGTCCCTGCCTTGCCCAAATGAGTTGGGTGTCCCCAGTACGAGGGCACAGCATCCTCCCATCGGTGCTGCACCAAGGGCAATCAGCTGCCGATCTGGGCAATGGGTGGGTGGCTGCAGGGTCGGCCCAGGAGCACCCCCCCCCCAGTGCTTTTGTGCACAGCCCTTGCCAGGCACAGAAGGACCAAGACAGCATTGGGTACCAGCAAGCACTTTATAGAGGGGCAGGGGGGTGCAGCGGTGGTGGCAGGGGGGACGGGCCCGTCCCCAGCTCAGTCTGCGGAGCAGTCGGAGCAGCACAGCCGCAGCGCCGAGGGCTGCTTCCTTCTCCCAGTGCACATGGAGAGACAAGCTTAGGGCACCCATGGCCATCACCAGTGACTGCCCAAAGCTAAGGACGAGGTCCCCCGCAGAGTCCCCACACCCTGCCAGCCCATTGGGCACCCAGATTTTGGGGTGCTGAAGGGCGTGCAAGCGCCATCAATCTGGCAATGACGGCAGAGCCCTGGCACCTGCTGCCTGCTCTGCTCCTCCCCCAGAGCCCATAAACACAGGGTTCCCATCACCCCTCCAGCCACCAAGGCGAGGCCACCCACCGTGACAGGGCGTCCCATGGACAAGCCAAGGAGAGGAGGAGCTGCCCCAGCCCTCCCACAGCCCAGCCCTGCTCCCAGGCCCGTACTTGCGGTTCCTCTCCTTCACCACCATGCGGGTCATGCTCTGGATGCACTGCGTGCGGTAGTTCTCGTAGTGCGTCTCACGCGTCACATCCTTCAGGTCCTGCATGTGGGTCCTCACCAGCATGGTGCGCAGCTTCACAAAGTCACAGTGAGACGGATTCTCCACTGAGGGGGTGGGGGGAAAAGCAGGGGTCAGGGGACCCCAAATGCACCCGCATGGGGACCAGATCGTGGAGAAGGAGCACGAGGTGCCCCCATCTCCACAGGGACGCGTCCCGGTGACGTTACCTTCCACGATGCCCCAGGGGTAGAGCCGCCCACGGACACGCCGTCCCTTGGCTTCCACCACCGTGTTGCTGCCGATGACAGCAAAGGGGATGCTCTCCTGCAAGGGAATGGTCATAGAATTAGAGCAGGTCTTGGCACTGCTGCTGTGGCCCACAACCTTCCACCTGCATTTCTCTGTCCATATCCAGCACTGATACCCTGGAGCACTGGCAGCATCACAGCATGGGTTTTCCCCTATCCCCACCCCCATCCCTATCCCCATCTCCATTTCCATGGGTTTTCCCCTATCCCCACCCCCATCCCTATCCCCATCTCCGTTTCCATCCCCATCCTATCCCTTCCCCCCAAGTTGCAGGTGGCGATGACAAGATCTCCGTGGGATGTCCAGTATCCATGAATGTGACATGGCTTCCTTGGCCCCAGGTCCCCTCCAGGATAAGATGCCCCCACTCTGTGGGGCTCTGCCCCCTCTCCACAGTGCTGGAGGAACCCAACCCACCTTCAACGCTTGGTCCTGCAGCTTGAACTCCTCATCCTCATCCGAGTCGCACTCAGGGAACTGATAGATGCGGATCCCATAGTGGTCAATCTCCTCCCGGATCTGGAAGAACACAGCCAGTGCGTGGCAGGGCTCTGCTCCATGGGAAGGGACAGGGCCACACACCCCATGTCCCTCATGCACCCAGCATGCTTGCTCCCAAGTTGGGTGACACAGACATCCCACCACTCGCAGAGAAACACGTCCTTGGGGACTGTCCCTGCTGGGAACATGGAGAATGCTCCGCACAGAGCCCAGGCAGGAGACTGGAAGAGCCACCAGACGAGAGGAGCAGGAGGTGAGGGGACAGTCCAGAGCAGGACCTCACCTTATTCTTCATCCGTTCCACCTCAGCAGGTGTCAAGGTGTCAGCCTTGGCCAGCACAGGCACGATGTTCACGCGCTGGTGCAGCGCCCGCATGAACTCCACATCCAGGGGCCGGAGGCTGCGGGAAGCCCCGTGAGCCCCGAGCCCTTCCCCGTCCCTCCCATTTCTGCTGCTCGCCCCAGGTGGGCAGGGGATGGGGATACCCCTACCCGTGGCCAAAGGGCGAGATGAAATAGATGCAGCAGTGCACGCGGTTGTCCTGGATGTTCTTGCGGTTGAGGCCACTTTCATCGCGGAAGTACTGCTCGAACTGCTGGTCAATGTAGTCAGCCACCGGCTTCCAGCTGTGGGGACAGCGGGCTGGGAGGGAGGTGACCACCCCACGGCCCTTCCCCAGCCCCAAACTCACCATCTCCAGGCTCAATGCCTACTCCTAGGGTCAGTATCATGTCCCAAGGACAGCATAAGCCATAGTATCACCGAGCAACAGGGGGCTGCCCGCACACACATCCCCATCCCCAGATCCCCATCCTTGGGGACGTTCCATTCCCCTCCCCATGCTGAGGATGTGCCCTGGGTCGCACCACTCAGTGTTGTTGACAGCATCACCGAAGCCCGGCGTGTCCACAATGGTCAGGCGCAGCTTGACGCCCTTCTCCTCGATATCCACCACATGCTTGGTGATCTCCACCGTCTGAGTGATGCGCTCTGCAGGGACAGGAGACACGGGGATGGCACTGGCATTCCATGCAAGGGGTGGGGATGAGCAGGATGTGCTCACAGCCACAATGGCACTGCACTCAGCACAGTCCCCGTGATGGGACAGCAGTGACACAAGGCGATATCACAGCCCCTGAGTCTCTCCCAGCCCTTGGGGACGTGCGACACCACCAGGCTACCGGTGTCCCCATGGTGACCTGGTCACCATGGGCACCAAACCCAGGCACATCATGGGTGCTTTGTGTCCCTGGCTTTTAAACACAACACCAATGGGAGGCCCTCACACTCTGTCCTCGCATTCCATGTCCCCAAGGATGCTACCATTGTGTGTAGCCATGCATGCATTCACCGAGGCTGCAAATAGCTCCTAGCAACCAACAGAAATCCAATAACTCTGCTGGATCCCGGGGATGGGGACCGTATTTCAATTCACCAGGCCACGTGGCACTGCGCCCCGGACCTGACTGTCCCCAGTGTCCTATGAGCCCCAACAAGCCGGGCTTTGTTCTGCCACTGCTCTGAGACAAACCCATGCCAGAGGACCCTACTGCCTTGGCAGAGCCCCACGCCTGCTTCCTCCTTTGGGGGAAGCCCAAAAGTGACAAACATGGGTGTAGGGGACCGGAGGAGCCCAGCTGGGGTGGAGAGGAACTGCCAGCTCCGAGGGTCATAGCTGGAGATGGTTCTCCAGACCCATCCATGCCCCCTCCCTGCTGCCCTACCTTCAGCGTTGAGAAGCTTGCGGTCCCTGTACATGTCTGTCAGGAAGAGGCTGTTGACGAGGGTGGATTTGCCCAGCCCAGATTCCCCTGCAGTGACAGGGAGCGGTGAGGGGACATTCAAGTCACTGTCCCCACTCCAGCCACCATGCTGTCTCCTACCTGCCACCATCAATGTGAAGTCAAAGCCCTTCTTCACTGACTTGCGATGGACCTGGTTGGGAAGCGTGGCGAAGCCCACGTACTCCTTGTCATCCTACAGGTAGAGGGGACATGGGACAGCGTGCTCACCATGGGGATGTGCCCCCCTGGGCAACACCAAGGGGGTCCCATGGGGTCACGGTACCGTAGGACCCCGTGGGTTGGGCGCACACCTCACGGTGACTCCTCCATCCCCTCTACCACCCCTGCTCCCCAGGGGCCCACCGCACCTCAGAGGAATCGTAGGGGTCCAGCTGCCCCCAGGGGCTGCGCGGCCGTGAGGGGCTGGGCGGTGGGGGGGCCATGATGAGCTGCTGGGTGTCCAAGGGTCGGGGGCGAGAGAAGGACCGCACGTCGTGCTCATCGGCAGGCTCCTCACCGGGGGCCCTCCCACAGAGGGGGTGGCCAGAGTCCCGCCGGCCCTCAGGGGGCTCCACTTTGCGGGGGCTGTCGGCAGGAGGGCAGTCCCTGAGGAACTGGGTGAGCTCAGCCTCTTCCGAATCCTCCTTCAGGAAGCGCTTGATCTGTGGGGGAAAAGGGACGAGGAGAGAGGGGACGGCTGTGGCGGCAGTGCCGTGCCGTGGGGGCACCACGGTGGCACCGCGCTGTGACGGCTCTGTGTCATGAGAGCCCCAGATCAACACAACATCAGAATCCCAAACCTCCGCTGTCAGCCTCATGCACCCCAAGGCAGGGACACCTTGGGGACAAAAGAAAGGGACAAGAGTGCCAGCCGCGGGACAGGCGTGGGGACAGAGCGGGGACAGCGCGGTGCCATGCAGCAGGGAGGTGAGGGCGCTTACAGCTTGCTGCATGGGGAGGTCGGCCGGATCCTGGCATTCCTGGGGACACGGGTGGGGGCTGTCCCCCTTGGCCCTGGGAGGGCCCTGGACACCCCCACGTTCCTTGGGGTCTTCTGGCAGAACCCCCATGTGTGGCTGTGAGGGAAAGGTGCACTGGGGAAGGAGGAAGACAGCGACGAGAAAGATGAGAGGTGACAGCCCTGGAGCTGAGGAGAACCTTAGAGGGGGCAGGAGTTTGTGCATGGTTCCCCATGGTCATCACCATAGGATCCCTGGCCCTACAAGGTGGCCCCAAACAGGGGACATGGAGGGCCTTGGGCAGCTCCCACTCTGCAGGACAGCATCTTGGGGTCTCAAGGTGACAGTCCACCATGGAACACACTTCCCCCCTCCCCTGTCCTATGTCCCTGCCGGAGGCGAGGCAAAGCACGCTGAGTTATTGGGCTGGAAACGAGGTCACTGCTGCCGGGCCACAGCATGCTCAGCTGCCCCGCACTGCCCAGCACCCCCACTGCCACCAGGATGGTGACAGCGGTGTCCCCTCAAAGGGCTGAATGGCCCCTGCAGTACCCCTCCTCTCCCCCCCCCCCCCCCCCATCTTCAGCGTGTCAGCAGCACTCAGTGTGTCCTCACCCTGATCAGTTTGCTCAGGGCATGCTGCCCATCTGAGGACCACACGGGGACAGGTGACAGTGTCCTCTGTCCCCAGCCACTCTCAAAACCACTACCCCACTCTCCCAGCAGACCTTGGGGGTCCTCTGCCCAGCACAGAGCCCTATAAAGCATTCTATTAGGGGCTGCACCACATCCTCGGGGACCCTGCAGCAAGCGTGTCCCCAAGCAAGGCTGTCTTGGAGACAGAGCTGCAGCACATTCCCCAGCTCCCTCCAGACAGGTGAGGGCTCCCACTGTGCCCCCCACCCACATCTGCCCCCTCTACCCCCCATACCTCCTGCAGAGGCTGCAGCTCGGGGCAGGTGGCCATGGCCCAGCCGCTGTCACTCGTGGCAGGGAGATGCTGTGAGTGGCACAGGCTGCGCCCAGGCTCAGGGAGGAACAGGAGGGACATTAGCATAACTCCACCCTGCATGAGCACCCAGCACCCTCAGCACCCAGACACAGCTCTGCAGGGGTGCAGGAGCAGCACAAGGGGCACAGGGGGGCACCGGGATATGGGGAGAAGAGTGAGCCCAGCTGTGAGGCAAGAGAGCAGCTCTGGGGGTGGCAGGGGTCATAAAGCATCACCAGACAAGGCAGCGGGTGGGTGGGAAGAAAACTGGGCTGCCTGACTGCCATACGCCCCTCAGGCTGAGTAGAAAATCTATCCTAAAAGCAACATCTCCATCCCAAATACCCCCATCCACAGCAAAACACCTCTCTGCTGCCCAGCTCATCCTCAGGGGTTAACCCAAGTGCTCACAGGGCCCCTGCAGGGCAGAAGCCCAAGCTGTCAGGGCTGGGGTCTGCTCCCATCAGCCCGATGCTGATTTGCCTTGATGCATGTCGAGATGCATTGGGCACGGGACTGGGCACGCTTCACTTGCCTGGCTTAGCTGGGAAAGTGCTAAAAAGCCCCAAAGCACCAGGGGGGCTAAAGGGGGAGAGCTGAACCACGGGGATGTAGGTGCAGAGGGGTCCAGTAGAGAGTGATGCTCCACCCCCCAGCACCCCATAACGCAGAGGTGCCACACGGGTTGTCACACTGAGTCCCAGCAGCAGCATCACCACAAGGCCATGACTATCCCACCTGTGAGTGGGGATTTACAGTGCTGCTCCACGCCCCATAAGCGGATTACACACCCTGCTGCACACGCCAGCGAGGAGGCATTTGCTGCCCTGTCCCCACCTGCCACCCCACATCGCACCTTCCCGCAGGTGACAGCTCGGGGGCTGCGAGGGGGGAGGCTGCAGAGCCACTGGGGCGGCAAAACCTGCTCTGGGAGAGCCACCCTGAGCATCCCCACGCTTGGCTGCTCCCCTCAGCCTTCCCAGGCTGCTCTGGGGAAGCTCTGCAGCCAGGATGTGGGCACCCCCAGACCCGCACTGCACTCTACCACTGCATCTCACCTAAAGGTGGCATCCATCCCTGTCACAGCCCTGCACACACCGCTCCCCACATCACAACACAACCAGCACCTTTGCCCCCCTGCAGCCTGCCAGTCCTCTCACCCAACACCTACAACCACTGCGCTCCCTGCAAACTGCAACAAGCTTCTCCAAAACCCATCCTCATGGCTCCCCACCCCCCCCTTAAGAACAAGGGGCTCAACTGTCCCTGTGTTCCTTTCCTAAGGCAGCCAGCAGCCACACGTTGCTGAGCTGTGCCGGGAGCTCCCAGCTGCCACCAATACCCTAAAATCAGAATTTCTCACTTCCAACTCCCACCTCCCACCCCATCGGTGGTGGCTGTGTTGGGAAACCCATCCTAGGGCTGCATCTGTCGCTCTTGGGCAGCCCGGAGAGGCGGTGATGGGGCTGAGAGCGTTACCAGGGCTGAGAATCGCTTTGGACATGGGAAACACAGGTGAGGAGCAGGGCGGAGGGTCGGGCAGTGGGACGGTGCCCGGCTCCGGGCATGGTGATGGCATCGGGCAGAGGACCGCGCAAAAAACTCCTTCCCTTGGTTCAGCCCTTCCCTCGAGGCACCTTTCCAGAGCCGCGGGAATGAGCGGGCCGGGAGCGCAGGGCAGCACAGCGGTGCCGCAGCCTGGAGGTGATACCGGGGCCGCTCGGGCTAGAAGCAGCGCAGCGCTCCGGTACGGATCGCTAATCGCACCGCAGCCCGGAGCGGGGGGGAGGCGAGCAGGAGCACTGTGCGCGCCCAGAGCGCGAAGCGGCCCCGACGTGGCCGGGAGCGGATGGCTCAGCAGCGGGGACGGGGAGTCCCTCGGCTCCGTCCGTCCCCCAGGCCCATCCGGCACCGTTTGGGGAGGGCTCTCCGCGGGACCGCCGCGCTCCTCCGGCCGCCCTTCCCTCCCCTCTCCCTGCGTCCCGCGCCGCAGGAATGTGCCACTCGGTTCCCACGGTGGCCGCAGCGCTGTCCCCACCCTTCCCGGTGCCACGGGGACCGCACTCCCATCGCGGGCACGGGTTCCCTACGGGGACCGCGGGGACCCCTCTGCCGGCAGCGGGACGGAGGAGCGGTGCCACCGGCGCGGGACGCGGGGCTCCGGAGGAGGGACGTGGATGGACCGCTCGGGGCCGCGTCTTCGGGGGTGACCGAGGGGTGACAGAGGCGTGACAGAGCGCTGAGAGAGGGGTGGCTGTGCTGGGGCAGCCGCTACCCTCCCAGACCCGGGGGGTTCCGCAGATAACGGGGCGCAGGTGGAAGTGTTAGGGGGGGTCCCGCCTCGATGAAGCACGAGAAGCGTGCAGCGCGCTCCCCCCTCCTCACGTCTCCCGTGCTCCTCCCGTGGCTGTCAGGTCCGGCCGGGTTGCCCCTTTCCCCCCCGCCCCTCTGCGGCACCGGATGGCCCGGCCCGGCCCGCTCCGCCCCGCGGCACCGTCACCTTCACGGAGGGCACCGGGATGCGGCAGAGCCGGGATGCGACGATCCCGAATCCCGCGTCCCGTGTGTCATTTCCTCCCCCCGCCGTTCTCCTTACCATGGCTGCGGCCCGCGCGGGGCGGGGGCCGACCGGGAACGGCGGCTGAGAGCGGCACGGCCGGGCCCCGCCGCCGGGATTAGCGGAACGGCAGCCGGCGGGGCGGGGCGGGGGCGGGCCGGGGCGGCACCGACGGCGGCATCACTGCTGGCACCGGCACCGGGCATCCTCGATAACGTCTGTACCGGCACCAGCATCGATGTCTGCGCTTCGTACTGGCACAGGGCGCCGGTACCAAGAACTGTGCATCATTCAGTGCACCAGTGCCACGGACCGAGTGCTGGCACCAGGCACAGGGCGGTGGTGTGAGGTAGCAGTGCTGGGAATAGGGCTCCAGCACTGGGAACTGAGTGTGGGGCACCGTCACCAAGGCCTCGGGACAGTGCACCAGTACCGGGTATGGGCAGCAGTAACTGATACCAGGCACAGGGCACCAGTGTGGGTACCCACTGAAGGGTGATGGCACCAGTACTGGGTACAGAGCACCAGCACCGGCACCAGAACCTGGTAGTGGTGGGAGGGGGCAGCCCCAGCACTGCGAATTGGGCGACAATACTGAGTGCTGCTCAGCAGATACTCGGTACCAGCATTAACACCACTGCTGGAAGACAGCAGGGAGCATGCACAGCTCACACCAATGGCAGGCTACTGGGCACTGGTACTGGGAGCGTGAGCGACCCCCATCCCCATCCATGTGGGGCAGGGAGGATAGGTGAGGATGGATGCTTCAATCCTAATCCCTGCAGTCAGCGCTCCCTTCTGGGACGCAGCTTTACTGGGGATTACTTGCCGTAATGCTGAGCCCTGCTGCCCGCTGCCCTTCAAGGAGCAGTTCCCCCGGGGACAGTGGAGCTGGGCACTGCTGTGATGAGCTGCCGGTGCTCAGCTGCATAGTGGGTGATGTGCTCAGCCTCCAGCAATGGGAATTTGGCCTCGCCGGAGGAGAACGGTGCCTGGCTGTGTCAGAAGGATGTGGCCGCAGAGCCGCAGCCCGGGCTTTAAATAGAGCATTAAAAGCTGAAGGGATCAGCTGCAGAGCAGGGGGGGGATGCAGCAGGGCAAGGCCAGGCGACATCGTGGCAGCTGGAGCCAAAGGGGGTCACGCTTTGCCCATGCATGAGTGGGGAAGTGTGTTGGGTGCCCCCAGCGTGGCCACATCGTGGTGGGAGCGGAGCCTGTGGGGTCTGTGTGCCTTTACTCCACGCGAGCAGGGCAGTGCCAGGCACAGCAGCCATGTCCCCAATCTTGGAGATGCCATACTGACCCAGTTCTTCTTGTCCAGGGGTGACACAAGAGGAGGAGCAGTGACACGAAGGGTGGGTGGTTTTCCCCAGGGCCCCCAGCACCCCCAGCACCCTGTCCTGCCCGGCCCAGCCGGCAGCAGCTGGAAGGGAAGCAGCGAGCTGGAGGGGCAGCTCTGTAATTACCATGGGAGGCCGAGTTATTTTGAGATGAGGCTGTGTGCTGCCAAAGCTGCTCTTCCTCCAAACCCAAACAAGATGGAAAGAGCCCATCCCAGGACACGGGGTGATTAACCCCTTCCCTGCCTGCTGCCCCCACGCTGCAGCGTGTCCCCAGGCATGTGTCAGGGATGGGGGAACCCAGGGGTGAGCTCTGTGCCACCCCCTGAGACCTCCCACAGTTCATCCCCTGTCAGCAGCCCCGAAATCCCCCACAAGAGTCCTACCAGTGCTGCCAGGCCATCACTTACCTCCTCATCTGAAGCCTCAGCCAGGGAGGGGTCAGCACCGGAGCAGGCAAAGGATGGCACCAGAGTGGGAAGAAGCAAGATTTTCCATCAGCTGAGGACTGCTGGGCTTTCTGGCTGTCCCCGTGTCCCCCCAGCACACGTCAGGGCTAGCACAGTGCATGGCATAGGGATGTCCAAATGCCGTGTTTATGTAGGCCCTACAAACACTGCTGTGGGTGCCTGCCTCACCTTTCAGGGTCCAGAAGAAATCGGCGCTCCCCTTGTCAGTCATGACTGCAATGGGGAGGAAGGCTGTGAGCTGCAGCTGCTTGTGACCATTGCTCTGTGCTGTCCCCTCCAGGTGTGCCCCCAGGGCAAGGAAGAGGGGACACAGATGTCCCTGGGTCACACGTCACCATATTCCCTGTCTGCTTGCCCCAGCTACCCAAACTCACCCATGAAGAAGGTCTTAAATTCAGTGGCCAGCTCCACGTCCACCTTGTGCCCAATATCAATGTCACAGGCAAAGTCCTTGGAGCTGTTGTCCTGCGGCAGGGCAGTGGCAGGAGCTCTGTCACACATTGCCGCATCCTCACTGAAGCCACCTCTGCCTGTCGGGACCTCTGCGATGGCATCCACCTCTACAGGGACATTCTTGGAAGTGCTCGGCTCCGTCACTGGGGTCACGGGGCACGGGGTGGCAGTGTGCTGTGAGTGCAGCAGGGGCCACCAAGCTGAGCTGCGATCAGGCTTGGACAGAGCCCTGGTGGTGGAGACATCCCAGGGCAAGG